AAGATTGCGCCCAAAACCTAATTATGACTCTACTAAATCCATAACTTAGCAAGCTTTATGTTACGAGTCCCAGATCCCTATTTATATACAAGTGTACCTTTAATGAACCGATTTTTGACAAAGACATTTTCATCACAAGCCTTAAATTTATCCATGATTATTATCTTACCATGAAATATGGAGATAACGAACAGTTTTCAAGGAATAAAGTCCATTCAAACAATACAAATCATGAGTAGAGCCAACACGAACCTCTAAAATGTCAGAGGTGGGTTAAGGTGCCATGAAGAAGTAAGCAATTCCTGTTGACCGATCACACCCGGCGTTAGCCCTACGTGTTGAACAGGTGCACGGAGTTCTCCTTAGTTAAATTAAGTATGAATGTCATGACCACACAAACAGTATCAAAATTGTCAGACAAAATAAGACTCTACAACAGGTTGTATATACAAGCAAGGTCATTATAACGACCGTAGAATTCGCGAAAAGCAGACTTAAAATGGGGTTTATGAAATTCCTGTATTATCAACTAATTTGTCAGTAGCTTACCTCAGTTATTTTTTTTTTCTAAAAATAATTATAGAATGCTTAGAAATTTTCAACTTTATACTGATTTATACAAAGTTTGCTAATGTATGTGAATGCATCGCAAAATTAACATTACACATCAAGAATAAAACTTGCATAGTCTAACGATTTTATCTCTGATTAAATGTGTTCATGTGAATGGGGTTATCGTTAACATAAAAATGACTTTTTTGATAGGAAATGTGTCATTTAAACCAAAGTTGTATGTATCATACTATAACCAATGTACAGGTATTTAAACCTGTTATCTGAAAAGAGTCAAATTAGGAAGTAAAATTATCTAGAAGCCAGAACAGTTTTCACCTCCAAATTGTCAGTAGGGACACAAAGTTTGTTTGCTCAGTACCCAGCAGAGAGGAATATATTAAAGCAATATAATGCGTTTTCATTGTTTGATCTAAAGAGCCCCACCCTAACTCCAGAACTCCTGGCCCTGTGGTCATGAATTTCACAACTGTAGATAAGGGCCAGTGCTTAGTACAAGCATGCCCTCAGTTTGATAGATTAATGTCCAGGAGTAAAGGAGATTTTTAAAGATAGCACTAATTTTGATGGTTTTAGCTCCACCCATCAGGCCTCTTGGGGGCGGGACCATGAAATTCATAATTTGTTTCCCTTCACCCATAGATGCAATCTACCAAGAATGGTTGAAATTGGTTTATAGTGGTTAACGCACGTGAAAGGACGACGACAAAAACAGATAGCAATAGTTCACCTAAGTGATAAAAATGACCATGAAATAGATAAAAACAGGAAAAGATTATTATTTTCATTATTATTATTATTATTATTATTATTATTATTGAAATATTTTTTGCATTCGAATATTTTTTTAACTGACAGCTTTACTCCCGAAGGTACCTTCCGGTAGATCGGTGATAAATATTTTGACAAACACGTTTATTTGAATAAATTGACGACTGAATAAATATTCAGTCAAATTTAAATTTTGAACAATTCTAGGATATCGCTGAGATTGCACTTAAGGATGGATTCTTCTCATATTTCTTATAATGGCAGAATCTTGATTTTCTGAATACTCAATATTCAGACTGTTTACACTCTTTTAACATCCAAAAACTTTGGTGTCATCGGCCTTGATTTTCAGTCAAGGTCATTTGAAAGTCAGTCCTAAAAATAGTACTTTTACACAGAGAAGTTTTGAAATTTATGCATATGAATAAATTTTGCTGACTGAAAAAATATCTTTCACAATAAAATTAAAGTTGTTACTTTTTTTGATGACTAATTCATATGAAATGAGCTGGTGAAAAGATAACATGAAATCCTTTATATTCAATAAATATATTTAATCCGAATTTCCTCGATATTTTTTCAAAATTCTCAGTTTTTATGAATTCACATGAAATTTCATCTCAATTTTTACAATTGACCATATAATGTCAAATATTTAGATTTTTGTCTGATGAATATTCAAAGGTTCAAGATTAATTTACAAGGTAAAAAAGATATAGTAATCAGGCAAATTATCGAAAAATAAATAGCCCGAATTTGCTCTATACTTTCTGAAATCTTCATTTTACAGAGTGTTTTAAATGTCTATAAAAAAGATTTTTAATCCCCAAAAACATATCAATTTGGTGTAATTGTGACATAAATACATTCATTTCTCCCAGTTATACATTCTGTTTTTATGGTATTTTACACTAATGATATTCAAAATATTCCTTTCGAATTTCCTCTGTCATTTTATTCTCATGAATGTTATGTTTGACAATTTTATAAAATACATCAATTTTCTAGTGGCAATTACAGAAAAATTATCACATACATTCTTCACATGCACAGGACTAATTCAAAGCAACTTAACCTTTAATATAACCAGGAATAAATAATAAACCTTCCAAAAAGTTATGAGAAAAATCATACATAAAATTTTCATAGACTAGAAAAGATTTCAATACATTATTTATGACATAAACATGAAGTCAATATACATGTATAGTGAACATGCCATTCAAAGCTTAATATATGAATATCAGAGGGACTAATATGTATATGTAGTTATATACATATAGGTCCCTGGTATTATGTTATTATTGGATATTTTACATTTGTAAACTGAGTTTTGAAAACAACAAGCAAATTCAAAGAATTGTGGTCCCCCACTTTCGATGTCTTAGCGGATGGGATGCCATTATTTATGGCATACTTTAACTGTCTTGTTTGTTTGTCCTGTCTTATCTGTGCATCATACAAAAAAACATAAATTATTGAATTAATAACAGTTATGGCAAAGACTATAGCTTCTCAAAACTACATCAAACTTCAAGATCAAGGTCATGAGGTCAAATATCATAATAAAATCCAAAAGATCTTCTCACAAGTGATGCACATGTAAAAAAAAATATCAGAAACCAGAGTATACAATCAGAAAGGTCTTGAAACAGGTAATGCACATGTCAAATGTAAATACCATCTCTTCTCACAATCAAATGTTATTAGCAATGATAAACTTTTTAAAAATTAGGTCAAACTTCAAGGTCAAGGTCATGGGATTAAAAATCATAGTACATTTGGAAATGCTTGTCACAGGTAACGCACTTGTCAAATATGAATGCCCTATCTTTGCTCCTTCGAAAGTTAGCAAACCGATGAAATGTTTGAAAATTAGGTCAAACTGGAAGGTCAAGGTCACAGGGTCAAATATCATAGCATATTCAGAAACATTTTGACACAGGTAATGCACTTGTCAAATATGAACACCCTATCATATGTCATTCAAAAGTAATCACCAAATATAAAATTTTTGAAATTTAGGTCAAACATGAAGGTCAAGGTAAAGGGGTCAAAAATTATAGCATGCTTGGAAACTCTTTGTCACTACTAATGCACATATTAAATATGAAAGCCCTAACTATTCTAAATCAAAAGTTATAAGCAAAGATAAAAATTTTGAAAAGTAGGTCAAACTTCAAGGTAATGGTCATGGGGTCAAAAATCATAGTACACTTGGAAAGGTATTCTTACAGGTAATGTTCATATTTAATATGAAAGCCCTATCTTTTCTCATTTAAATTTAATGACCAATTTAAAGAAATGTTAATTTTCTGAAAAGTAGGTCAAACTTCAAGGTCAAGGTCACGGGGTCAAAAGTCATAGTATAATAATAGTCTTGTCACAGGTAATAAACAGGCATAATATGAAAGTCCTATCTTTTCTCATTCAAAAGTTATGACCAATTTAAGGTAATGTTAATTTTTTTGAAAAGTAGGTCAAACTTCAAGGCCACGGGGTCAAAATTCACAGTATATTTGGAAAGGTCTTGTTACAGGTAATGTACATGTGAAATACAAAAGCCCAATCTCTTCTCACTCAAAAGTTATGGCCAAGGTTAAAGTTTTTGTGACAAACAGCCCGACAGACGAATGAGATTTAATGTCCCCTCCCTTTCGTGAAAGTGAGGGACAATAAATACCTACACACATTTATAAGTATATAGTTTGTTCAGCACCAATAAATATAACTCCTCATTGTGATCACATATTGCGTAAAATTTGCTGGAGTTTTAAGATAACAAAAAAGCCATCTATGACAATCAAATGCCCTTTGACATCTTTGCCTGAAAATGACATCCTTGAACTTTGTAACAATAATATGCATGCAGCTATCAAACTTAATTTCACATTTAGATGCAAAATACTTATTCAAGGATGAAATTTCTTTTTAAGAATTTGTAGCACAAACATTTATTGATCAGTGTCAATAACTTATATTGAAATGAATTAAAAATTACCTCTTGAGGGTTTCTACTGCAAGTACGTGTATGTAGTTCATTTGTAAAAATCTAAATTTTAACCCGGCCACTACCAGCAATTTTGTTCGGCATGCTCTTGCTTAAAATCACCCTTTAACTAAATGATCTAAAGCAGGCACATTTTTTTGTATTCCAGAACTGTATTTTAAGATTTTAACTGTATTTGAAAATGTAAAGCAACTGAATACATAGAGCTAGGTATATATCATTTACAAGTTGTTGTAATGCCAGTACATGTAAATCTTCAAATTGTAATCTAATGAAAGATAATGCTTGAAAAATTCACTCTGGGAGTAAGATTTCAAATCTGAATCAAAGATTTTGTAAAGTAATCACATTCTACAAAGTGTGCACTGTATCGGGTACTTGGGAATCAAATAATTAAACATTATATAATTATAAATAAAACTATTTTTGACTGAAAGTTTCTGAAAAAAATCAAGAATGGAATCATGCAACAAGCAGCAGTGACTATGATAACATGCATTGACTTCCACATTTCTACAAAAACATTTCTTTGATCAGATAAATATGTAATTCCTGCTTCTGATCTGTGATATATTCTGAGAAAATCTCTTTTCCACAGACAGCCATCATTCATTTGATATGAGAATTTCTTGCTGAACATGTGTCCACCCGATGAAAGTCCAAATTTTTTGTTGACCTATAATTTAAAAAAAAAAAGTAATATATTTTACATAGCAACACAGATGCTGCATTACATGATAGTTAGATAAAGTTGGTTCCATATTTCTTATACATGTACCTCAATAGTCCATCTGCCAGCACTCCTTGCTCAATCATCCTGCATTCTGACCTCCAGTCTTTTTTCTAGTCTAGGGTAAAGTAGGGTTGATTTTCTCCTAAGAATTAAACACGAACATCCCTTAGACTATTTTTTTAAATTAATGGAAATTGATTATAAGATTAAACAACTTATCTCATCTGTATTTCATTTATTGATTTAAATGAATGAAGATATTTTAATAGATTCTACCATATGCATTATGTCTTATATTATAATGTATTGGATATAAATAAATAGACATTTTTCATCCTAAAAGTACAGAAAAGTAAAAAAATAAAAAAAAAAACAATAATATAAATAGTTTTTTAACAATAATGTTTCATTTTGCTCTATTTATTAGACAATTGTGTGTTTCAATATTATTGATATTTCCACATACAATATCAAGTTATTTTTCCGTTTGATTTGTACCCAAGCGGGACACCTTACTTTTCTAATAACTTGATGATTGTTGCGTCTTGAACAAAGTAGGCTAATTAAAAATATAAAATTTGTTGTAATCATATACAAAAAATGCTATTTTTGTGAATTATTATTCATAAACCTGACGAACACACGAAATATATCCTCTTCAAATGTTGACAAGTCGCGGGAATAAGCAGACGAAATATTGATAACAGGACTATAATTTCCGTGCGAATTCCCATAAATCAATACAAACCAGCATGTAATTGAATTCAATTTCAAAATTATAAAAATCTTCAGACATATATAACTAACTTACATGCTCACTGCACACGACATGACTTCAGACGAGGCAACGTGGATCTGCAATCTTGCACATGTTTGTGACCTTCAAGTTCAAGCTTCCCTTTTGGCTGATCGGAATTTCCCGGGCATAAATAACTATGATTTAATTTGTCATAACTGTCCCTGGGCTTCTGCAATGCTTCGATAATGTTCACAGTTGGTAGATTTTACAAAACAACCCTCTCGGGGTTTTCTACGGAAAATGATCTGGACATGTTGACATTCGCTACCGAACTGCGAATATTATGGCGATTGTCGCAAATCAAAGAAAATATTACGAAAAATTTATTAATTTCAAAAGAAATAGATTCAACATTACTTAAACTGACAAATTAACTAATAGTTTTTCCCTCAGTATAATTAAATATGAATTTTGCATTTTACGACTTGCATAATTTATGGAGACCCATTGACGACGTAAAATGCTGACAAGAATCCATCCTTAAATATATTTTTTTATGTTTTTATTTTCTTTTTTTAACAACCGAAAGAAAAATAATCATTTATATCCCGTATTATTCATCTGTATGTCCATCTACAGTGGATACTTTTCATGGAATTTCTTGTTAGGAGTTGACTTAAATTGTACTTGAATTATTTTGGCCGTTTAATTTGGGTTTAATTATGTGTTCAATTATAATTTCAATTATTTTCGCATAATTAACCAGAATTAGAATTTTAATCATTCTTTTATATTTTTTAAATTGTTTACATACCAAGAAAGAAAAGGCATGTATGATTGGCAATATTCTGATTAGAGGTATGTCCCTAATTCAACGCAATTAATATTTATAATAAAAGTTGTAAATATATTTTACAAAATATCCATATCACTTTGACACTTTGACTGAAGGGTGTGATTTTATCCTTTGAATTAAATGAATATTTAATTCAGCATACACATGTACACATACACAACAGATGAAAAATGGATATCTAAATCACGTGACCAGAAACCTGGGCGAGGCAGGTAAGTAATATTTGAATATTTTAAAAGGAGACATGCTGTATTTACAGGTAAAACAAACTATAATAATTTAAAAAAAAACAAAACAAATCGTGCTTTAATTTAATATGAATTCGAATAGGGAATCAACATATTTTAAGGCGATAAAGTTAGCTATTTTGGGAGAAAAGATGGCCAAAAAAAAATTTAAAAAGATGTAGTGCAAAGTCATTGCGAAGTTTGTTACATCAACCTCTGCAAAGCCTGTGTAGGGGAGCATCTTTCAGCTTCAAACAAAGGACACAAAGTCGTGCCATATTCAGAGAGAAGAACTCCCAACAATCCAAAATGCAAAAACCATCTTAAAAATTTTCAATTGTTTTGTGAGAAATGTGACATTCCTGTCTGTTCTCCTCAGGTAAACATAAAGAACACTGTTTATTAAATATTTATCAGAAACCTCGCTCTAGGACAAAAGATATAAAAAAAAAGATTTGATAGAACTTGAGTTGAGAATTTACCCAAAATATGGAGATATTGCATTAGACATTAAAAATAAAAAGGACAAGTTGGATAATCTCTATCAAAAATTGAAAATAGCCGTCAACAATCAAGGAGAAAACTGGCACAGAGAAATTGACATAATTGTAAACAAACAAAAATCTGAAATTGATGACATGAAAACTATACACATGTCTATTTTAAATAAACAGGAAAATATCATCACACAAATTACCTCCAAAATGAAACAACGTGTTCTTGATCTGCAGAAAACTCTTGAATTTAATGATCTCTCCCTAACACAATCCAGAAACGAAGAGTTCAGACGTTTACCTCCAGAAGTCAATGTTTCATTACCAGTATTTTCTCCTCAGAAAATTAACACAAAACAGCTTAATCAACTCTTTGGTTCTCTGTCAGAATTATCAATGAAAACGAAACATGGCTACACAATGGAGACACCAGAAGCTGTGTCCAGTCCTCCAGTCAAACCACTGCTTAATGAACCAGAGCTCATCACCACCATCACCACCAAACATGGTACGAATAAACTATACAGTATTGTCTGTCTCAATGATGAAGAGATTTGGACACGTGAGAATGACAATATTAGTGAAATTTATTCAGACCAGCTCATTGAACAATCCAGATGACATTGCGGTGACAAAAAGTGGGGATCTAATCTATACCGACTATAAAAGAGGGTCAGTTAATAAAGTAAGAAAGAGACAAATCGTGGAATTGATTAGACTACAGGGATGGAAACCTAGCAATGTCTATAGTACCTTTGCTGGTGACCTCCTGATAATCATGGACAGTGATGATGGAGAGCAATCAAAGCTTGCTCGTTACACTGGCCAAATAGAAAGAGAAACCTTTCAGTTTGTTAATACAGTTAAACCTCTGTATTCATCCGGTTACTTCACAAAATACATCAGTGAGAACAGGAACCTAGATATTTGTGTTGCAGACTTTTTAGCCAAAGCAGTAGTGGTGGTTAATCAAGCTGGAAATTTGCGATTTAGATACACTGGTCATTCATCTACTACCAAAACTTTTTTTGAACCAGTCGGCGTCACAACAGACAGTCAGAGTCAAATCCTTACATCAGATTGTTTCAACAGCTGTATCCACATCTTCGACCAAGACGGACAGTTCCTAAGTTACATTGAAAATTGTGAACTATTTCGTCCATGGGGTTTATGTGTGAACACTAAAGACCATCTCTTTGTAGCTGAGTCTGACAGTAAAAAGGTTAAACAAATAAAATACATGTAAATACTGCATCTTGTTATGTGTTTGTATTGTTATAAGAAAAAAATCAATCCAAATATCATTGTGAAGTTATAGATTGTAAAAACGATAGCATATGGAAATATTTAATAATAGATGAGCATAAGACAGGGATATAATCCAAATTGTATTTGTACTTAGTTATGTTTTAACACAATAAATACTTAAGCACAATATCATCAACATATAAATCTTGTAATGTACTCATATGATAAATTCAGCAAGATATATATTTTATGTCATTAGAGCTTGACTCTCTCAAGTGCTTACTTTTTCATATTTATCAGTAAACTTTAATGAAATTCCTCTTTACATAGATATTTATTATACTGTGGAGGTTAATTACTGTAAGAGAAAGTGTTTGGATAACAAAATAAAAAAAAGTTGATGAGCTCAGATTTTTAAAAAAAGAAAATCAGTCAATTATTTTTAAAGATTTGAATTTCAATAGCAAAAGCATGAGCAATTAAGGATATAGTGATATAACAGTTGCATGATCATGTCGTATTCTCACCTATTTGCGCAGAGATTATATTATAGCAACAGTTGACCTCAAAAAATGTAAATTTGTGTATAATCTAAAGAATTTCTCACTATGTTGGAACTTCAAAAATTGGACAATATTACAAATATAAGGTCTCTCACTCCGTTGTAACTTAATTTTCAATCTTCATAATTTTGCACGTCTTCGGATTTCTGTTGTTATTTGTAAATTAACTGTTCTCTTTTAGAAGAGGAGACTCCGTTGAAAAATTATAAATACATCTTTGAAGTTTTGTCAGATATCTACAATCAATCATTAGTTCATATAATTATTATATCTTATTAATAAAACAACTAACAAAGTGTTGTACCCAAAGTGTTGACTTTCATTTAATATTTTCCTTTGAACACTTTCTGAAACACATAGTAGTGTTAAAAAAAATTGAGAACAATATTTTTTCAAAGTGACGGATCCTAGGTATACACATTGTATACCAATATATACCAATTTATTAATCAAATTCCAGAATTGATTTTTTTTTTTTTTTTTTTGCTGTTTGAACGTTATATTTTTTGTAAAATTCGCAATCTTTATAGGTCGCATATAGTGCGCACGCCCTAGGGTTGAATTGCTTTAAACATTGAATAAATTTTTTGGATAAAAATTATAAAGGTCTTCATTTAAAACAAGTTATAGGTAAATGAAAATAAAGCGTGTCTCAAATAATATAACAATTTTTTTTTAATATTATTTTTTAATATCTTTATTATCGATAATAAGAGAGATAGTGGAAATATTAATAAATAACGCAAGAAATGTCTGAAAATGCATGACAGAAAAAGCGGTGTTGGCCATCCAAAAGGAACAATCCTATCAATGACATAAAATTATGTTTCAAAATAGTTATAACCGCGTCAACGACATTGCAGGAAGTGGAAGACCAGTGTTAATTGATGAAAGTATGATATGATTCATGACGTTAAATGTATTATATATTTATACTGTACCTTGCAACAACTGTGAAGCGCCTAACTTTCACCATGACCTTACTAACTTTTTAAAGTTTTTGAATAATTTTTTACAGACAATCCGTTTCCTCACAGATCGTCCTCGTCTGATACAGGGTTTCTATCATTCAAATACCGCCTGTCCCATGTACACACACATGCATGACTCGCTTTTGACATATTTCCAACTTCCTCCAGAATTTGCAATTTTTTTTTCTGGAGTTTTTCCAGAGAACAACACAAAAATTATAACGTTAACTGCTGCTCCGTGGCGTTTTACGACGTCATCCTTTTCCCCTTTTTTCAATGAGGACTGCCTATCTTTTGAAATTGACGTTCTACGACGTCTTCTTTTTTCCTCTTTTCAATGAGGACGGCCTATCTTTTGAAATTGATTCTGAACAACGAAGCAAAATATTGAGTCATAATTTGAAATATGAAACAATGTTACATTGTTGATTTTAACGTCTAGGATCTTGCTATTTTTGCACCATTTTACAGATGATATTATTACAGACATTATTTTTTGTATTGATTGTAAATTACGAGACTTTGACCTGCGCGGCGACCCGATTTTCGAATTTTTGAACTCCAAATAAGTTTGAAAAAAATAACAATATTAAAAAGAAAATTGATACACGTCATTTGAATGTTTTGTTGAAACCTATATACCAAATTTGGATATAATATGACGTTAAGTAAAAAAAGTAATGATAGTAGTCCGCGAACTTTCCGACCAACCCTCGTATGTTTTACAAAGGAATAACACAGAGATAAGGATTTCACTTGTCACTAATAAAATATTTTTAAAAAACGCTCATTACCTGACTGAAGGTTTAAATGTCGGCATGGGTTTCGAGAAATGCCACTAGCTAAGTGTCATCACTAAGGCATTGAGTTAATGTCAGCCGTCTCAAATAGGTCTTCCAGCAAGTCTCGTGTCACATCTCCACGCCAAGGTGGCCCTGGAAATCCTTCGTTAGCTGAGCAACAGCGGCAGCAGTCGAGACCCCGGCGCCTTCAAAATAACCGGAACCAGTGACCAAGGGAAAATATATCCCAAAGAAAACCAACGGTCCTCTGGATACAGTGGTTTGGACGTGGGACTAGCAACTGCATCCCATAAATAGAGCACAGTACTACATAAACTGCAGCAGTCCTATGCTCCCCATAGAGTGAACAGGAATAAATTAAGTCAAGTCTATATCCAGGTCATGTGAACTGCATCAAATAGCAGCTGAATAGTTTTAGCTGCATCTAATTACAGGGAGTTGAATACCCAAAGTTTTCATGACATTTAAAGACATTGAACATCAATCAAGCCCAAATTGGGAGCATAGCAAACAATGACATCCCAAGAAAAACATTAGAGGTGGGAATAAGTGCCATGGATGGTAAGCATCCCAAGTCGACCGGTCACACCTGTTCAGTTCTCCTTGTCACAAACTCGGACAAAATGAAAATCCATTTGTATGAAAAAAGTCAGTCCACATTCGATTTCACGGTAGATTGAATTTGCTGAAAAAGCAGAAGTCATCACGTTTATCATAATGTTTGTTGTTGGTTTGCCTCTAATGTTTATCCAAATATGTAGATTCTGAGAAGTCATATGTTGAGTTCAATGGGTTCAATCGACTTAGGAATGAGTATTGCGAAAACGTCGTCGCTATGACTAAATTTTCCCAAAGCAATAGACTTCTTCGATACATTTAAAAGTTTTTGTACAAATTCTGCTTCATATGATTATAAAAATAGGCTGCTTATAACTGGGCGCAGCTTGAACCCATAAATTCCAACAGATTTCTGACGTCCAAAAGCTACATAGATACTGTTAATCAGAAACCCACGCAACTTTTCAATTTCAACTTCGGAGTAGCTGTGTATACAATCAGAATCTTCATTGACTAAATAATTTTGCAGATGGCCAGTGGCAAGGTATTTAAATTTACAAAATCCATTTTCATTGAAAAAGCATCTGTTTATGATATCAAAAAGTATGGATTTTAGTTCACCTTAGGGAATACTTTATGAAGCGTTGAAAGGTTTCGATGCTATTGATTTTTTTTTCCAAAGGATGAAGTCTCAAAACTATATTCTACGGCCCTTTTTTCTACAACGGAATATAATGAATATATATTATTTCCTGAATAGTTTTAGTGGTTCGAATGTTTTATAAACTTGAATATTACTGCATTATGGATGATTTTCTTAATCCTTATTACACAAGAACTGGTTTTGGTTTATGCCACTTTCTTCTCTTTTATAATTGTAGATATTTCACGTTTGCTTAGTCCGATCATCTCCCAACATCCGACCATCTCCCAACCTAATCGATTTTTCAGAGCATGCTCTCTGAAAGATCAATGTTATTAACAAAGACAGGCTACAGACAAATAAGTTGATGTTACAGGAATTTCAAAAAACCCGATTTAAAGACATTTCATAAATTCTATGGTCATTATAAATATAACACATCGTTTGGTCGTATTTTGGTAGACATGTTTCATACCAATTTGCCTTTTAATACTAGATCTGACAACGGAATATTCCGTCTACCTGATCAATGCATAGACCTCATGGTGGGTCTTACCAGTCTGTAACGTTAATTACCCAGGCTCAAGTTCAAAATATTTAAAACTTATTTACACAAAAACTTATATAAGTACACCCACATTCGCAAACAATTACATGCCATTCTTATTCACATATTGTAATAAGAGATAACCAATTAACATGACAAGTTATTAGACAGACAGAGAATTTTTTTTTATCAGACAGATATTATTTCCAATTTTTGTTGGCATAATAATTTATATGTTGCCATCAAATCAAAGTTCACTTGTAGATCCAAGTTTGCCACAGTCAATGAGTTCTAAGTTTGAAGTTCTGTCGAATCGACTTATTTGAATCACATCAGTCTCTCAACACTGTCAGCTGATCAGTCATCCCATCACTTCTGGGTCCCTGAGCTTGTGGATGGTGATGACCCCCCCCCCCCCCCTGCAGTTGATCCCTCTTGAATACTGCTCAACAATTCAACGAATATCACATTCAAAGTAACAACGCACGGTCTGCAATCCGTACCTTTGTTATGTTTGTGGTATTTCACGTTGCATACTTGAAAAAATATACGGCCCATGCAGCAAAACTCAGCTACTCTCAAATTGCGTGTCTCTCACACGGTAGCTCACCTGAGAATGTTTCAGTGAACACTAAATCACGTGCCTTTTGCAATAGCTATGAGTTATGGCTAAAGATTATCAAAGGATCATAATTTGATGCATGATTAAAAATGACTGATTCTACATTCAAACCCTTAGATAATTTTGGTTTCACTTTATGTACTCTAGTCTTAAGAAAATGTTTTTATTAGAATTTATTAATGTGTAAACTTTCTTGTAAAAGAATGACACAAACAGTCTTGATAGCAATGAGATTGAGTGTTGCAAATGAATGTATTCTTTTTAAAGAAGCTGTTTTTACATGAACGTATT